ATCAACCAAAGGAATTGTATGCATGCATATAAGCATAACCCATGGACACAGACAGTAGGGGGGTGAGGGCATGTGCTGGGCAGTGGGGGTGGCTGGGGAGAGGTCAATGAAGGGAAAAGGAGACATGTGTAATACTTTCAACAATCGAGAATTTAAAATTTTTTAAAAATGCGCTCATTCACAATAGCTAAGACAAAGAATGATGGGATAAAAAAGGCATGGGACGAGTATACAGGGAATACTACACAGCCATGAAAAATGACAAAATATAAGTGAAACCATATGGTATGCGTTTTCTTGGTCTGACCTATTTCACTGAGTATAATACCTTCTAGATCCATCCATATAGTCGTAAATGGCGAGATTTTATTTTTATGGCCAAGTAATATTCCATTGTATATATGCACCGCATCTTTATGCATTTGTCTATCTGTGGGCACTTGGGTTGCTTCCATAGCTTGGCTATTGTACATAATGGTGCAATGGACATAGGGGTGACATACATCTTTTCGAATTAGTGGTTTTGTTTCCTTTGGATAGACACCCAAAAGTGGAATTGCTGGGTCGTATACAAAACAAACACACAAAGGAATTGAGAACAGATTCATAGAAACAGAGACCAAAGGAATCGTTACCAAAAAGGAGGGGGGGGGTTGGATGGGTGCAAAGGGGGAGGGGAATATAGTCAATAATATGTGATAAGTTTACCCAGTGACAGATAGTTACTAGAATTAGTTGGGTGATCATATTATAGGGTATAAAAATGTCAAATCACTATATTGCACACCCGAAACAAATACAACCCATATACAATTACACATTAACAAAGGTCAAATATTAAGTTGTGATCCCAAAGATAATTGTAATGAAAGTTCTAATGCTACACTTTCAGGAATTTTTTAAAAGTGAAATATTGCCATTTGCAACAACACGGGTGGATCTTGAGAGTATTAAGCTAAATGAAGTAAGTCAGACAGAAAAGGACAAGAACCCTATGGTTTCACTCACATGTGGAGCATAAAACAGAAAGCAACAAACGAACTCACAGACACAGACAACAGTGTGGTGGTTTCCAGGGGGAAAGAGAGTGGGGTAAGGATGAAGAGGGTAAAAGGGGTCAAATAGTCCAGCCATGTGGCTCAGTGGTTGAGCACTGACCTATGAACCAGGAGGTCACAGTTGGATTCCCAGTCAGGGCATATACCCAGGTTTCGGGCTCGATCCCCAGTAGGGGACGTGCAGGAGGCCGATCAATGATTCTCTCTCATCATTGACATTTCTACCTCTCTCTCCTTTTCCCTCTCCCTCTCCCTCTCTGAAATCAATAAAAATATATTTTAAAAAAGTTTAAAGTTGGGAGATGAACATACAACCCAATATACAGATGTTGTATTATAGAATTATACACCTGAAACTTACATAATGTTATTAACCAATACTACCCCCAATAAATTTAATTTAAAAAAAAAGAATTTTAAGCCTGGCCAGTGTGGCTCAGTAGGGTCATGCAGGAGGCAGTCAATAAGTGTTTCTCTCTCATATTGATGTTGCTCTCTCTCTCCCTTCCTCTCTCTAAAAAATTCATTAAACATATCCTCTGGCAAGGATTTAAAAAAACAAAAGTGCTTCCTATATACCGGGAACATAAGCTCTCTGCAACTATTTCCTACTATTGGATTCCACCTGGCTCCTTGTGCAGGTCCGGACAAAGGATGGACAACTGTCATATGGAATTCCACCTCGCAGACTCTAAGTCCCAGGCCATCTCCTGGGACAGCATGGACTCGAATTGGGACTGAAAAATGGGAACACCACTGAGAAACAGTCTGTCTCAGGCACTAGCCACCGGCCGGCCATCACTGGCCCGCGTATGAGTGGAGCTGCCTTGTCATTTTTCTACCACCGCCAAGTCTCCCCTTAACCCATCACATTCTCAATGGAAGGAGGGGTGACCATTATTTGAGGACGATATCACCTTTGTTAATGCAAGCTCCCACAGACCCACCTTTGTTGTTGTGAGTTGCCAATACACCCCCTCCCCGGGTCCCACCCCTGCATCGCACACTTACTTCTTTTTATTTATTTATTTTTTTTAATTTCAGAGAGGAAGGGAGAGGGAGAGAGACAGAGAAACATCAATGATGAGAGAGAATCATTGATTGGCTGCCTCCTGCACAATCCCTTATTGGGGATCAAGCCTGCAACCCAGGCATGTGCCCTTGACCAGAATCGAACCTGGGACCCTTCAGTCCTCAGGCTGACGCTCTATCCACTGAGCCAAACTGGCTAGGGCCACACTTACTTCTGATCTCATCCCTGGCCTTGGCCCAGAGGTCTCTCCGATTGACCTGAGGAAACAGCCTCAGGGCGACTTCCCAGGCCTGTTTGCCCGGGTAGTGCCTGCATAGCAACTTGGCCAGATCATCTTTGGAAGCCCTCTTCAGCTCTGGCCACGGGATCGGCCTGAGGTCAGATTGTTTGGGTTCTTGCTTGAGGAGCTCCTTAAATTTCCAGAACTCATTCTTCCTCAGCTCCTTTAGGTACGACAGCAAGCAAATGTCAGAAAAAAAAGCTTCGGCCATGGTGTCCCAGGACTATGAGCTCAGACTCCTCCAGGGAGGCGGGAGGGGAGGTGGAAATCTTCAAAAACAAGAAATCGGTGATTCCTGGGGAAGAATGAGGAGATTAGAGAGTTAAATCTCAGCCGTCGAAAGTAGCTTCAGTCTATTATTTACAGTAGAGGCCCGGTGCGTGAATTCATGCACGGGTGGGGTCCCTCGGCCGCCCAGTCCAGGGGGAGGGACCGAGGGAGGTTGGCTGGCCAGGGGAGGTTGGCTGTGAGAGCATACTAACCACCAGGGGGCAGCTCCTGTGTTGAACGTCTGCCCGCTGGTGGTCAGTGTGCGTCATAGCAACCGGTCCTTCAGTCTACTGATCTTAAGGGTCACTTAGGCTTTTATATATATAGATAGCCAAGATATGGAACCAACCCAAGAGCCCACTGATAGACGATGGGATAAAGATGTGGTGCAGCCCAGTGGCATGGCTCAGTTGTTGAGTGTCAACCTATGAACCAGGAGCTCACGGTTTGATTCTCAGTCAGGGCACAGGCCCAGGTTGCAGACTCGATACCCAGTGTGGGATGTGCAGGAGGCAGCGATCAATAACTCTCTCTCATCATGGATATTTCTCTCTCTCCCTCTCTCTCTCTCTCTCTCCCTCTCCCTTCCTCTCTGAAATCAATAAAAATATATTTGGAGGGAAAAAAAGAAGTGATGTAGCCCTGGTTGGTTTCGCTCAGTGGATAGAGTGTCCACCTACAGACTGAAGGGTTCCAGGTTTGATTCCAGTCAAGGGCACATGCTCGATCATAAGCTCGGCCCTGGCCCTGGTCGGGGGCAACCAATGACGTGTCTCTCACATCAATGTTTCTCTCTCTGTCTCTTCCCCTCCCTTCTACTCTCTCTGAAAACCCATGAAAAAATATCCTCAGTGATGAGGATTAATAAATTTAAAATAAAAAAGAGCCCTAACTGGTTTGGCTCAGTGGATAGAGAGTCGGCCTTCGGACTGAGGGGTCCCGGGTTCGATTCTGGTCAGGGGCGTGTACCTTGGTTGCGGTCACATCCCCAGTGGGGGGTGTGCAGGAGGCAGCTGGTTGGGGTTTCTCTCTCACCGATGTTTCTGGCTCTCTATCCCTCTCCCTTCCTCTCTGTAAAAAATCAATAAAATATTAAAAAGTAATAAAATAAAAATTCTTATTAAAAAATAATAAAATAAAAAAGAAAACGTGGTGCATATATACAATGGAATATGACTTGGCCATAAAATTAATGACATCTTACATGGATGGGCCTGGAAGGTGTTATTGTGCTAAGTGAAAGAAGTCAGATGGAGAAAGACAAATACCTCATGGTCTCACTTACATGTGGAATCTAAAAATCAAAATATATGAACCAACAAAACAAACAGACTCATAGACACAGAGGGCAGACTGGTGACTGCCCAAGGGGAGGAGGGTTAGAGAACGGGGTGAAAGGGGGAAGGACTAAGAAATACAAGTTGATACTTACAAAGCAGCGGTGGGATGCGAAGCACAGCATTGGGATCACAGCCCATCACACTGGAGTGACTACCGGTGATGCTGCGTGGGTACCAGACTTACCAGGTGAGCACTTGTAAGGGATGTAACTGTCTACCCACTGTGCTGTATGCACGAAGCTAACACAATATTAAATGTCAACTGTAATGGAAACATGCATTTTAAAAAGAATATTTTAACAAAAAAATTTATTTAAAAGGTAATAAGAATCAGGTAAAATTTATATTAATAGTACATTTTTATTTTAAAAAATAAAATGAGCCCTGACCGGTTTGGCTCAGTGGATGGAGCGTCGGCCTGCGGACTCAAGGGTCCCAGGTTCGATTCTGGTCAAGGGATGTGTCTTGTAACACAATATTAAATGTCAACTGTATTGGAAACGTGCATTTTAAAAAGAATATTTTAACAAAAAAATTTCTTACGAACACATTAAAAAGGTAATAAGAATCAGGTAAAATTTATTTTAATAGTACATTTTTATTTTAAAAAATAAAATGAGAAAGACATATATAATTGTTCAACTTAGATGCACATTCTGAGCGATACAGCTTGATGTCGGAGGATTCATTTTAGCAAATGGCCTGCTTTGGTTGGCACTTTTTTTTTCTTTTTTTAAAAATATATTTTATTGATTTTTTAAAGAGAGGAGGGGAGAGGGATAGAGTTAGAAACATCCATGAGAGAGAAACATCAATCAAACATCTGCCTCTTGCACGCCCCCTACTGGGGATGTGCCCGAAACCAAGGTATATGCCCTTGACCGGAATCGAACCTGGGACCCTTGAGTCCACAGGCCCAGGCTCTATCCGCTGAGCCAAACCGGTTTGGGCGGTTGGCATTCTTTTTCTAAGACTCGTCCATGTGGCTGCATGTGGCCCGTTTGCATTGCTGGATAGTAGTCCACTGCTACTATTCCAATCTCTTTTTTGTTTGTTTTGTTAATCCTCACCCGAGGATATTTTTCCATTGATTTTTAGAAGGAGTGGAAGGGAGGGGGAGAGACAGAGAGAGAAACATCAATGTGAGAGAGATACATCAATTGGTTGCCTCCCACGTGTGCCCCATCCAGGGCCAGAATTGAGCCTGCAACTGAGGTACATGCCCTTGACCGGAATCAAGCCCAGACCTTTATTCCTAAGGCCGACGCTCTATCCACTGAGCCAAACCAGCTAGGGCACTATTCCAGTTTCTTAATGCTACAGTTGACTGGTAGATGGCTTTTTTGTTTGTTTGGTTGGTTTTTGTTAATCCTCACCTGAGGACATTTTTCCCATTGATCTTTTAGAGAAAGTGGAAGGGAGAGGGGAGAGAGAGAAAGAGAAAAAAAAAAAACACCAACGTGAGAGAGACACATTGATTGGTTGCCTCCCACATGTGCCCCAATCAGGGCAAGGGCTCAAACCTGCAACCCAGGTATGAGCCCTTGACTTGGAATCAAACCCACGACCCTTCAGTGCGCAGGCAGATGCTCTGACACGAGGCCACACCGGCCAGGACTAGGAGAGGTTTTCTAGATTTTTTTTATAACGTGAATGACGCTTCTGTGAGCAAGCTCTCACCTGTGCCCTGCGCATATAAGCAGACATTTTTCTGGGTTAATAACTATAGGTTGTAACCCATATGAAGCAAGTTTATGACCATTTCCCCTCGTGAATGTCATGACTGACATTCCCACCAGCACCCTGAGAGTGTCATTGCTGCACCATGCCACCATACTCAGTACAGTCTAAGCCAGTGATGGCGAACCTTTTGAGCTCGGCGTGTCAGCATTTTGAAAAACCCTAACTTAACTCTGGTGCTGTGTCACATATAGAAATTTTTTGATATTTGCAACCATAGTAAAACAAAGACTTATATTTTTGATATTTATTTTATATATTTAAATGCCATTTAACAAAGAAAAATCAACCAAAAAAATGAGTTCACGTGTCACCTCTGACACGCGTGTCATAGGTTCACCATCACTG